CAAGCGAATCAGAGCAGAAAGTAACATCTGTCCTCGGTAATCAAGGTTGAATGACCATCAGTCTATCTTTTTTATTATTTTATTTTACTCATCAATCCGATTGTGTAATGTCGGGCACGAGAGCTTTTTCTGTATGTGTATGTGTATGTGTGTGTGTGTGTGTGTTCGTGAGTAGAACCATAACCAGCTAAGGACCAGTTTGGGCAACTAAACACCCTCTAAATACGTCGGTTTATAAATTAAGCACAATTAGTCCTACATTAATTTCTCATTCAATGTATTCAATGACTAATCTGTTGATTTCAATGGCCCGTTAATTTCGCCAAACGACAAGTTTGATTGTATTCAATATCACTTCCGGTTGCTGCTATAGGCTACGCTGCTTCTGATTTTCCAATACAATCTACTCAACAAGCACTTTTCAATTCGGTCACTCTATGTAAAATGGGGCGACGGATTTTTACAATATTAAAGCGACCAAATTAAGACATTATTATTAGGCAATAATTACCATCAAAGTGCCCTTCTACCTTGCCTACATTTTTGGAAAGAACACACAAAAGCAAAGTCAGAAGATTTAAAAATTTCCATTTTTCCATTTTAAATAGTTCAAAGAGAAGAAAATATTCATATATATATATTTTTTTTCTCATTGAATTGGTAAAGATAAAATATATATATATAATAATAATATTTAGATGTGCTTGCGAACTTTTTAAATGGCATTTGTAAAGACATCTCAAGCTATACTACTTATATAAAATGTACATATATATATATATATGTGAGGAAGTGAAACATTTTGTTGCACCGCAAAAAAGAAGTCCAAAATTATATGTGTTTTAAAATTTGACAAAACTATGGTGAGTTCATGGTATACAGAGTGAAAGGTGGTCATAACAAATATTGAGAATTCTTAACTGTCAGTAAATATAAGTAAACTTTTGTTTAAATTAAATGAAAAATGATGCAATCTTGTTTGTAAAGTGAGTCAAAATTTATAATAGCTTTTAGTGCTTGGTAGTGGAACTAGACACTCTGAACTCCAGTGTACATCAACTATTTATATATCATTATATCTATCAAATATTTCAAATAATCTCCATTTAAACAGTCGAACCAAGCTAAAGTGGCAAAAGGTCAGACAGATAGTGCTTGCCTCGAGACGCCTCGCGACGCCCAAGGCCGGCTCCACGAATCGGATCTGGCGCCGGATTCGACATCCCGACGGCCCGCACGAAGCCGGACTCGTAACAGCTTGGACGAATGGAGCGTCAACGGGACCGCGAGCCTTCCGCAGTCGTCGCACTGGCCTCATGCTCTTTATCTCGACCGTACTCTTCTACGCCACTCTTTTTCCCGTGCTCTGGGTCCACTTTGGCTGGTGGTTGGGCCACGAAACCACTGTGCCACTGCCTCAGGAGACCGTTTGGCCAGTCAGATCTTCTGGAGCTGTGCATCACGAGTTCTATTACGTGAACAACGCAATCAACGTCGTCATCTATTCTTGGCTCAATCCCAACTTTCGTGCTCGTCTCAGATCGTTGAAAACCAGCTTAATGCCTTGACCAGTCCGTCTTAACTGGTGCCTACAAGGCGTACAAACCCCGTAGCTGGCCATCGGACTCATCATTTACTTGTTATACCACAATTTTGCCTGCTTCCATGAAATGGTCAATCTGTGAGCCTAATGAAATCTTGACGACGCGTTACCAACTCAGGGCTTATTGTGACCCGAACTAACGTGTATATCTTCGAGGGAGTCGAATAAAGTGCACTTTTTCACCCTAACGCCGGGGTCTTTCTTTGCCCAAAAGAAAAAGTTTGTCACTTAAACAAATAGCCTGTCCT